ATTATATGGTGCAAGTTCCAAATTGTGTGATTACTTGTTTACAAATCATTAAGTCTGAAAATAACCCCCTTCCCCCTCCTTCCTTACTAGATTGTCTGCTTCCTTAAATCAAAAAAGAAATTTAAACCGCCCCTTTACGAAATGGTCTGGGTTCTCCCTTTATTCTATTCTAAGGCTTTTTTTATCCAATCTATTTGGTTTATAACGATTTGACTAAATAATTTTAAACATTTTGAATATTCATTTTTTTTTGTTATTTATACAAGTTAGTTTTATTGTTGCCAATTATTTCTTTTATATTGTCCCTGTCTTTTTAATGTCAGAGTTGCAGTTTTTATCGAGTAGAATTTTTTTTTTTTTTTTTTTTTTACTTTAAATAAATTTTTAAATTGTTTCTAAGTATATAAGTTTTTTTCATTTCTATTTTTTACGTAATTCAATAAACCTTTTGCAATTTTAGGAACTAAACTGGCAAATAGTATTTCTGTCATAAAAAACTTATTACTAAAAAAAAAAAATAATAACTTCCTATAATTCCAATTTAATGTCCTCAACGGCTATTGCACTGTGTAATAGCTTCTTTGATTTTTGCTTCGGTTTTTATCAGCATATGCAAATAACGAAAAAATGATACTTAAAGGAGACATTTGTTGTCGAAAAAAAAAAAAGTTAATTTCCAAAGAAGCGAAACGGTATATCAACAAAAAAAGTGGTCTATTTTAAAAATCTAACATTAAAACCATACGAGAAAAAATATAATAAAGATATAAAAAAGATTTATGGTACTTTTTTACAAATAAGCTTGTGTCGCCCTTATGTTCAGATATTTATAACGGTAAGATATATAAGTAAATAATTGAAACTAAAAACAATAAAGTTTTAAAATATAAGAACCGCTAGGATAAAAAAAATTGGATCATTATTTCATAAAGTATTCCGAAAAAAAAAATTATGTCCACAGCATTATTAAATTTTCTAAAAAATTACAGAGAAACGTTAAGGCGACACGAAATTGTCGCCTCATTGTAAGTGTCTCCTTAATGTACAAAACTTACGTAAGAAAAAGCCACCTAATGTTCATTTAGTAAAGTATACATATATATATATATATATATATATATATATATATATATATATATATATATATATATATATATATATATATATATATATATATATATATATATATATATATATATATATATATATATATATATATATATATATATATATATATATATATATATATATATATATATATATATATATATATATATACTAGCTGGATTGACCCGTAAAAATACGGGTCTTTGTAATTCTATTCCACACAAACCTTTTCCCTTATTTTCTTAATCTAGCTGTCCGTATCGGTAAATACAGGTCTTTTCTTCTACTTCTATATTTATTTATTCCACGCCAATCATTTCTTTACTTGTTTCTTATTTACTTCAATATTTTTTAGTAAACGGTGGAAAAAAATTCATCAAAAAAATTTGCTTTGAGAGCAAAAAAAAACTTTAACATACGCACTTTTTCCGCATACGTATATAGCTTATTAAACCCCGTTTATTTATTTTTTTTAAAAAAAATTCTGAACTAAACTACTTCCTACATTTAGACCAGCCATGGACCATGGTTTATGGTCGCGTCCTAGCCATTTTCAATAGTTACTATTTACTATATTTATTATTATTATTATATGCTTAGTTTTGAATAATAACAGTCTTTTATAGTTACCATTGTATTAGACGGAAACGGTAATGCAATTCTTTAAAACGTAAGTCGCTTAAAGCGTCAAAAGTCATGCAAAAAAATAAATTATAAATTTTGTGGTTTAAAAATTGAAAAACTAATAATAATATAACAAAAAGTTTGGTAATTTTTAAACGTTATTATTTAACTCTTACTTATGGTATTTATTTTGTTTTCATTTTACATTTTTAAAAAAATGTTGAAGCGCCTAACTACATGCATAACTTTGATAGCTCACAAGTTAAGTGCGCTGTCATCAGATTCGCTGTGCAAGGCTTCAAATCCGCGCCTAAAAAGTCTCAATACATTTTTTATAATTTTTTTAATCTGGCTATATTTATAGCAAAAAATTAAATATAACAAAAAACCTTTTAATTGTTTTTTTTTTCCCTGCCTCCACTGCAATACCATGTGGAGTAGCAGGACGGTTTTATCAAATTTTTTCTTTATTAGGTTTTAGGACCTTTTTTTTTAAGACTATCCGTAGCTTATTAGGACCAATTATGTGAGAACAGTATCAAAATCGTGACACACACGCAACAAATTTTCGCCCCGTTTATTGGTGTTTTTAGAAATCCAAAAAATATATAAAATATAAAAAGAAAAAACGGTTAAAGTGTATAACATTTAACTTATTTAACTTCACAAATATTTTGTAATTTAAAGAAAAAAATCGCTGGTGGTAAATTTGAACCACGACTATTACGTTCAGAAGCTTAGCGCGCTAACCACTCGGCCATGCTGACACATCAAATATCGAAATTTTAAAAATATATAAAAATTGTTTTTAACGGAATTGCTGTAGATCAAAAATTAAGGAGAGGTTGACGCAATGCAATTTTTAAGTCAAAGTCAAACTATAAAACTTGAAAAATGTTTCAGTATGTTTTATCATTACTTAATTACGTACGTTAGATATTTGCATACACGTTTTCTTCTAAAAAAAGTGCTGCGACTCTTCCTACTAACACTACTATTAAGTTCGGCATTATTATATAGAAGATAGATAGATTATAAAATAGTTTTTCACTTAAAAAGACAAACTCTATTCCACATTAACCTTATCTCTATTTCTCCCTCAAATATTATTTAGTGAACAATAGATTATGTGCTAGAAAAATAAAAATTCACATATGCACCTTTTCCGTATAATTATATTTAGAGCTTAACATGAAGAAGGTAAATCATTTAGTTCAAGACAAACTGCCAAAACCCAAATCCTCTGTTGATTTATGCACACTCACTGTGGCTAGGCCTGTAAAAAAAGTAGCTAGGCAGGTCAAATAAATTAACTTGATCTGTTTTTCTGCATAAAACAAAAACAGAAAATGTGAAGTACTTGATAAAAGGAACTGTAATATTGGATTTAGTTAATTTAATACAAAGTGATAGAAAACTGCAAAATAAGGTAACAACGTGAAATCTATTCAAATACTAATTTACAACAATTTGTATTGCGTTTTATTAAAATAGCTTTATTAAATGGTATGAAGATTGATGATTCTTCTTCTTCGCCTTTAGAAAATGGTTAACGATTTGAAAGACTTTTAAATTGATTATAAAAGCATTATCTAAAAATGAAATAAAATCATTATTGATAACACTGAATGCACATTTATTTGTTTTATGTTAATTCATTTGAGAAATGAAAAATATGAAACAAAATTTAGTAAAAATTAGTTCGGCAATATTATATAGAAGATTAGACATATACTATGTAAGAGTGCTTTTTTAAAAGTCTCTAGTATTTGGTTGGAAGGCTGGATTAACTCTTTTTTTAAAAAAATTTAGTTTTATCAGCATTGCTTAAGATAAAAATTCTTACTGACACAAAAAAATTAGGCATTTTTTCTTAAAATATTACTTGGCTTTTAGTGAATGATTAGGAGTAAGTTTCAGTAATGAAGCTACCCAATAATCATTTTTAACGATAGACACCAACGTGAAGGTAAGCCAAGCTGTCTATCAACACAAAACATCACAACAACATTACAGGATGATAAACAATAACACCAGTAGTGTAAGCAGGATTTTTGTTGTTTCAGATATATATTTAGAAGCTGTTGAAGAGTTTAACTTTGTTATGTCTAAAAAAATTCAGGTTAGGAAAAACACTTTTTTTAAACATTTGTTCCTAAGCTTTAAAAACATCAATTTTTTGCAAAGTATTTTAATTCTATAAACGTGAATACACTTAAGTTTGGTTGAAAGTGCTATCTGAAGCATCAAAAGACCCTGCCTATGCTACTGAATACACATAGCATCAAATATTTGTACATAACACATTTGCACATAACACAAAATATTCAGATTATGTGTTTCCAGAATAATTAAAAAAGCTAGACAACACAACCTAGCTCAACACTTGTAAGACCGCTTGGCACTAAACGCTGCCAAGTAACACTACAATTTAGTAACACCGCTTGGCATTAAGTGCCAAGTAACACCACTAATTAGTAACACCGCTTGGCTAGCAAGAATCACAATCTTGCACTACACGTTGCCAAGTAACACCACTTTTCACATGGAAACTACTTAATATAAACTTGTATAAACTTAAGCACATAAATATAAATAAAGATAAATAAACGCATATAAACACATACATTTATATACACATATAGCAAAAAAAAAAATAAATAAATAAAAAAATATAAAACACATATAACACATAATATACTTGTCAAAATTTAAATTAAGAACATTTGTAAAGACAACATTATTTGTGTAATGTTTGTTAAATGACATACCTTGTAATGGATGATTATCAACTTTGAAAAACAAACTATTAAATGATCTTGTTCTTGAACATGCAACATATAATTGGCCGTGTGAAAAGCAAGGCTTTTTAAGATAACACCAACTTTTTCAATTGTTTGACCTTGACTTTTATTTATGGTCATTGAGTATGCTAACCAAACTGGAAACTGACGGCGTTTAAGTGTAAAAGGTAAATTTGCATCTGATGGAGCTAATTGAACTCGAGGAACAAATACCCTGTTACCAGCTGATACACCTGTTAAAACCTCACCATCAATATAATTGTTGTGTAATGCACGCACCATCAAACGGGTTCCATTACAAAGTCCACCTTTGAGATCTAAATTTCTAAGTAGCATTATAACAGCACCAATTTTTAATTTTAGGCAATGAACAGGCATACCTGATGGAGTCAAACTATTTAAAAACTTGACTGGAAAGTTATTAATTTTATTAAGATCATCAGTATCAATGCTATCTGAACTTAATTATGTTTTCACATCACCGGGTAAGCGATGAAGGACTTCTTCATTTATTGCCAATGAATCAACATTTGTTAGCGTTAAAATAGCACGTTTTGCATAATCAGCTTCTTCTGCACCACCGAAAATCTTCTCCACAATAGATTCATTATCACTGAGAAAGCACTGCTCAGGTATTTCAATACACCCTCGCAAAGGATCTTCAGGCTTGACAGGTAATGTTCCACTTCCAAGCTTTAAAAGCCATTGAGAAAATTCCTCTTCTTCTATCTGAACCCTCATGTTTACAGTTAATGAGAACCTTTGCACATATTGCCAATGTTCAGAACATTTTAAACATGATTCTATATCTTCTGCTGGTCGACCTCGCTTCACAACTGGAAGTATTTGTCTGAAGTCTCCACCCATTAGAATAACCTTACCACCAAAAGGAAAGTTGTTATTACAAATATCTTGTAATAGCTTATCAATGGCACTCAAAGCATATATGGGTATCATAGATGCTTTATCAAGTAAATACAAACTGATTTGTCTCAGGAATCTACCATGAATAGAGTTTGGAGTTACATTACATGTGCTATTTTCAAAAATTCGAACAGGAAGTTTGAATAAGCTATGCATTGTGCACCCATTTTTTAAAAGAGATGCAGCTATTCCTGTCCATGCAGCTGTTGCAGTTCTAATATGCCTGCTCTGTGTTTCAGAAATTAAATAATTGTAAGTAAATGTTTTACCACAACCGGCAGGCCCATCCATAAAAAACAACCTTGAATGCTTATTTTCATTAGTAGGTTCCACACATAGTGCAGCAAGGATAACATCAGCTAAATTACGTTGATTATCATTCAATAATGGTCTAACTCGGTTTGCTTCATCAATAAACACCTGAACATCTTCATCATCATTTTCTGGGACATTATCTAAAAACTGATCTAAAGCTGGCAAATTATAATCAGCTAAGGTTTTACCACTCTGATTAATTATAGATTCAATTTGACGAAGAGCTGCCTGCTCAGCAAGTACGACTGGCATTGAATGGTGTATGTAATCTTCAACCATATAATTTTTAAATGTATTCCAAAGGTGTAAAGGATCATCAGGTTCACATAAAGTTAATATGATGCAAAACAGTAGCCTAATTTGTTTAGGCATCCGAGTTGCAGCAGCTTCAGTTAATGTATTTCTCCACTCAATGTCATCTTGCAATAAACCTAAATGATAACATGCTTCACGAAATGTATTAAAAACAGTACCATGAACAGTACGCAAATCCTCGAAAGACTTTGCACCTTTTACATGCAAAAGTAACAACCTGAGAAAAAATAATTCGCAAAATGAACTGACTTTATACATTCGAACAACCACCTTATCACTACCTCTTTGTCTTACTTTCCATATGCAATTTTTACCAAAAACAAAGTGATATGGAATTTCAACATAAGAATACTGACGTGCTTCATTATTTTCAGCATTTAACTTAAACCAAGCGGTTTGGTGAGTGTCACGCTGTGCTGCACGATCTATAGCTACTTGTTCTTCTTCTTCGTTAAAATATACTCTCTGATTATCAGGAAGGTGGATTTGAAGGCGGATAATAGTATGTGACATATCACTTATGGAATACTCATATATTCGCCAAAGAGCCTCTGGGGCGGAAACAAAGTGACAGTCTAAATATGTGTTAATTTCATCATGGTCAACACTTTCATTAATTACCACATTCGCACAACCATGCCCCTTATAGACATATTTGTATAAATACTTCACTGACTTAATAGACATGCAAGCTTCAACATTAATGTGGGCTTGGTATTTTTTTGATAACCAGGGGTTATAGGGTACGACCCATCGATTATCAACTTGGTTACCTTTTATAATGACTACTCTACCATTATCTAAACGCCTGTAGTTAGGATAACCATTGAAAATTGCAATAGTGCAAGGATTAAACTCTTTAGGAAATTTTTTTGTGCAAACTTTATCTTTCATGCAAGGAGAATTGGGATTTAAAATCCCACATGGTCAATGAATCATACATGTTTTTACAGTTTTAAAAAGTTCAGGATCAACAGTTTGATCTGAAATTTCAGCTGATATTAAACTATCAATATCCTCTGCTGTTTCTAGCTTATTATCGTTTACAAAGTGTAATAAAATATGCACATGTGGCAAACCACGTTTTTGAAACTCAATAACCTGTACATGACTTACAACTTTGCCTAAGACTCCATGTTTAAAAATATCACCTAAGAAGCATTTAAGTTTCGTCTTAAATACGCGACAAACTAAATCAGGCCTGTCAGTTGCGCTCTCACCTGGATTTAAATTTTCTGTAATTTCTCTCCATTTTGAATTACAGGTAAAAGTAATAAAAAGATCTGGTTTACCATATTTCTTTATAATTGCCATTGCATCTTCAAAATTTTCTTTTAAAGCTCTTGGACTTCCAACATATAAGGATGGTAGTATAACAACACGACCCGGTCTTACATAAAGGTTATTTGCAACATTATTTACATACTCATGTAATGTATCGTATTGTTCACTTCTAAGTTTGTTTTGGTTATTTCTGATAAAAGCAAGGCGCTGTCCTTCAATCTTGACATATGCATCAACAGCATACTGTTGAAAAAGTTTCTTACCATAAAATATAGGACTGAACGTTTGTCTAATAGAAAGCCTATAGTTGTAGTACTGAGATAAAGTAACACGATTTCGAACACGTATTGCTCGGTCAGGATTGTGCTCTAGTTGATCATGCCATCCTGCATCACCTCTTGGAAAAAATATTGGATATATCATTGGATCTAGATTTGCAGACATACTTGAAATTGTTTTTAAGGGTTGACCTCGAGGATAATTAACAACTTCTCTAGATGGAGGTGGAGCACCATCATTTCCTACAAACACAATGGCAACCTCTTCATGTGATGGAAGATTGTATCGACGTCTATCACAACCCTCAAGCAACGACATTTTGACAACAGAAATCGGTCGACCTTCTATAGCAGCTTGACGAATTTCTGCATCTTCAACTTCTGCCATGTTTTTAAATGCAAGCGCATATGGATTCTCCTGATTAATTATTGTCTGCAAAAGTTCCATTAACTCACGTATGCAACAATCATTTTGCTCCATTCGAAAGTTTAAAGCAGTATTAGGATCATAAACATATAATTGACAATAAGCAGGTGGATCCCCTTGCTGATGTCGTAGATTACCAATACGATGCATAATTTGCCCACTAATTCTAAAACAGGGTGGACCACGATTTGACGGAGGATCTATTGTGGCTATGAATGAAGCAAAAGATAGACAGGCATTATAATTTCGTATATGCTTGAAAAAATTTTGATTCAAAGCACGATCAACATGGTTGTCTGTCATTAAATCAACCATCAGCAGTGGATAAGGTAAAAGTGGAGGTAAGACAACCTTTCCCGAATGGCAGCACAAAAAATGTGTTTCATTTAAAAATTTTTTAGCACCACAATACTGACAATTATGGTTCATTTCTCCTAGGTAATTACTCTCTATAAAAACATTATTTCTTGCTATGCAATGCATTTCACGCCTAAATAATACTCGTTGAGCCTCATTTCTTTCATTTTGGCGACGAATAACTTCTTCACGTCTAGCCTCATTCCTTTCATTTTGGCGACGAATAACTTCTTCACGTCTAGCCTCATTTCTTTCATTTTGGCGACGATTAATTGCTTCTCGTCTGGCCTCATTTCTCTCATTTTGGCAACGATTAATTTCTCCTCGTCTGGCCTCATTTCTTTCATTTCGACGATTTCTTCTATTTTCAGCTCTTAGGTTACTTGACATAATTGAGAAATTATTTATGTTTGATAAAACTTTATCTTAATAATTTTTTGCTATACTAATCTAAAATGAACAAAAACAATAAAGTGCTATTTATCAGTTTAAACCTATGAAACTATGTGTATAGCATCTAATAAAATTTGTGAACAAAAGATATAACTAAACTGGTTTGAAACAGAGAAAAAGCCAGAAGTATCTTGTAATAACATACTATATTGTAAGTAATAAAACAGTATTTTTTGAAACAAATAAAAAATTTTATTATTTTAAAAGTCATATTAATGGTAATATTGAAAAGCAAAATTAGTTACATATTTTTAAATGACATGCCAACAATTGCAAACATGTTGCATCATATAGACCACATGTGGCTAACAACTGATTTTAAATACTATTTTATAATATATCTAAAGAGAATAATGTAAAGAGATTAATATGTGTATAGTGCATATATTAGACATATTAAACAGATATCATAGAAAAAGAAAAACTTTAAATATATTTACCCAATCTTTCAAAAACTATATAACACTTAACAAATAAAAGTTAATACAAAAGAAAATTTAGTATTATTAAAATTTAAAATGAGGATAAAAAGATGTAAAAACGTAAATTAATAAACAAACTTATAGACAAATTATTAAAAACTTTTATAACATAAGAGTTCTTTGTTAGTTTAGGATTTAAAAACAGAATTAAAAATCAAAAAAATAAAATAGTAAAAGTATATAAATTAAAATAATAAAAAATTGCGAAATTAAAAAAACATTTTTTTAAAAATTCAATTTTCTTTATAAATAAAAAAGAAGATAATTCTACCAGTAGTTTAAAAAAGCTACTGGTAGAAATTAAAAGAGTTAAACCGCTTTTCAGCACCCCTCCTTCTACCAGTGGTGTCATATGGGGCTGCTCTCCTCCATCTAAAGGAGGGATCATCTCCCCCATATTGACTCCACCGGTAAAAAGCTCTTGAAGATATTGGACCTGGGTGCTGGGAGCGATATTGCAGGAAATCTTGATATGATGCTAAAAAACAAAAACAAAAAAAGAAATAAATTTGAATACAATACTGCACAAAACAACCAATAAAAATATCATCTAAAACTATTTAGACTTCAAAAAAAAAAAAGTTATGACAAAAAAAATAAATAAATAAAGTAATGTAAAAATATAGGTATGCAATGTTTAAATTTCATATATACTTACACAAATACACATAACACCCACAAAACTGCATAAGTATGCAAAACAGATTACCTGATGGTCCTGCAGATATTGTTGCTATTATGGAAATAAATAAAAAAGTATATGAACTAACACATTTATTAAACAGTTATGTAATTGCATACAAACATGAAAAAAGTAATGTTTAGGTTTCAATTCACATAACACTGCATAAATACGGAAAAACTGCATAAGTATGGAAAACACATTACCTGGTGGTACTGCAGTTGATACTGTTGCTATTGCAGAAATAAATAAAAAAGTATATAAACAAACACATATATTAAACAGTTATGTAATTGCATACAATGATGAAAAAAGTAATGTTTAGGTTTCAATACACATAACACTGCATAAATACGGAAAAACTGCATAAGTATGGAAAACACATTACCTGGTGGTACTGCAGTTGATACTGTTGCTATTGCAGAAATAAATAAAAAAGTATATAAACAAACACATATATTAAACAGTTATGTAATTGCATACAAACACGAAAAAAGTAATGTTTAAGTTTCAATACACATAACACTGCATAAATACAGAAAAACTGCATAAGTATGGAAAACACATTACCTGGTGGTACTGCAGTTGATACTGTTGCTATTGCAGAAATAAATAAAAAAGTATATAAACAAACACATATATTAAACAGTTATGTAATTGCATAAAAACACGAAAAAAGTAATATTTAAGTTCCAATACACATAACACTCATAAAACTGCATAAGCATGCAAAACACATTTAAAAAAAATTAAGTTTCAATACACATAAAACTCATAAAACTGCATAAGTATGCTAAACAGATTACCTGATATTATTGCTTGAGGTGTTAATGTATAGACAAAAAAACAAAGAAATAAAGTGATGTGCAAAATAAGATATGCAATCTTTAAGTTTTTTATTAAATTACATCATTACCTGATGGTACTGCAGATGATATTGATGCTACTGTGAAAGTAAAAAAAAAAAAGTGTATAAAGTAACATATGTTAAACATTTATGTAATTGATAACAAACATGAAAAAAGTAATGTTTAATTTCAATACCCATAACACTCATAAAACTGCCTAAGTATGCAAAACACATTACCTGATGGTACTGCAGATGATATTGATGCTATTGTAAAGGTAAAAAAAAAAAAAAAGTGTATAAAGTAACATATGTTAAACATTTATGTAATTGCATGAAAACAGTAATGTCTAAGTTTCAATACACATAAAACCCATAAAACTGCATAAGTATGCTAAACAGATTACCTGATATTATTGCTTGAGGTGCTAATGTAGAGACAAAAAAATAAATAAATAAAGTAATCTGTAAATTAACATATGCTATCTTTAAGATTTAATACACATAACACTCATAAAACTGCATAAGTATGCAAAACACATTACCTGATGGCACTGCAGATGATATTGATGCTATTGTGAAGGTAAAAAAAAGAAAGTGTATTAAGTAAAATATTTTAAACATTTATGTAATTGATAACAAATATGAAAAAAGTAATGTTTAAGTTTCAATACACATAAAATTCCATAAAACTGCATAAGTATGCAAAACACATTACTTGATGGTACAGCAGGTGATATTGATGCTATTGTGAAAGTAAAAAAAAAAAAAGTGTATAAAGTGACATATGTTAAACATTTATGTAATTGATAACAAACATGAAAAAAGTAATGTTTAATTTCAATACACATAAAACCCATAAAACTGCATAAGTATGCAAAACACATTACCTGATGGCACTGCAGATGATATTGATGCTATTGTGAAAGTAAAAAAAAAAAAAGTGTATAAAGTATCATATGTTAAACATTTATGAAACTGCATGATAACATGAAAAAAAAAAATTAAGTTTCAATACACATAAAACTCATAAAACTGCATAAGTATGCTAAACAGATTACCTGATATTATTGCTTGAGGTGTTAATGTATAGACAAAAAAATAAAGAAATAAAGTGATGTGCAAAATAAGATATGCAATCTTTAAGTTTTTCATTAAATTACATCATTACCTGATGGTACTGCAGATGATATTGATGCTATTGTAAAGGTAAAAAAAAAAAGTGTATAAAGTAACATATGTTAAACATTTATGTAATTGCATGAAAACAGTAATGATAAAGTTTAAATACACATAAAACCCATAAAACTGCATAAGTATGCTAAACAGATTACCTGATATTATTGCTTGAGGTGCTAATGTAGAGACAAAAAAATAAATAAATAAAGTAATCTGTAATTAACATATGCTATCTTTAAGTTTTAACACACATAACACTCTTAAAACTGCATAAGAATGCAAAACACATTACCTGATGGTACTGCAGATGACGCTATAGTGGAGGTAAAAAATATATTTACATAAACTAATCAATTAAACAGTTTATTTTAGAGTGATAAAACCGCACACAAACAACAAAAAATTGTGTGTTAAAAATAAACAAAAAGAAACATAAGTCTACTTTGCTTACCAATTGAATTTTCTAAACTTTCTAAATAGAATAAAAAAAAACTCATTAACATTAGGAAAGAAACAAACAATGTTAGTTTCTTTCCTAATGTTAATGAGTTTTTGACAAATATAAATAATAAAGTTGACAAATATTCTGCATGTTAAACATGCAGAATATTTGTCAACTTTAGGAAATCTATAAATAAAGTTGGAACAAAACAAAAGGCAAAAATAACAATCACAAAACAAAACAAACCAAAAAAGACAAAAACGACAAAAAAAAATAAAAAATAAACTAAAGAAACAATCCACAAGAACAATATAGTAACTTACTAAGTTGTTGAAATATAAGCCCTATAAAAAAAAATGCTAAAATTTGTATCAAAAAAGCTAAAAGACCATAAAATACACCTTTTTTTTTGAAGGTAAAATGCTATATCTTTATCTATAATACACAAATGTAATATAATCAAGTTCTGTTTACCCATTGAATGTTCTAATTTTTCTAAATAAAATGAAAAACTTATAAACATTAAAATAAACTAACTTGCCAAATATAGAATAACTTTATGTTAAATAAATATGTAATAAAAAAAATAAAGAGCATGACAACAACAATAACAAATTGCTTACTTAGATTCTCAACAGAATCTTCTAATTTTTCTAAATAAAATAAATTTATAAGTTACAAAAGTCACTTGTTGACTGACTAACTGTCACAACTGACAAAAGTCAGTTGCTAAATAACTTTAAAAAAACTAAAAAAGCATAAATGTATTTGCACACAAAAAAAACAAAAAACAACAACAAAATTCCTCACTTAGCTTGTCCATTATTTCCGCTAAACATTAAAAAAAAGTTATAATTAACAAATTGCTGAAATTGGTGAAATATATATCTTTGTAACGTATCCTTCTCATACAAAATTAGCTTACTTGGCAAAACCTCTTCGGATCTGATCTCTTGAACATCTAATATATATATAGACAAAATTAATATTCAAAATATTTACTTTTTCAATTAAACATATAAGATTTGTCTTAAATTATAAAACTGTTGCACAGTTTTATAATTTAACACATTCAGTAAATGACAAAAAGTTTCATTTTACGTAAAAGTTTAGTAGTTAGAAGACTTAAAAGTCAATTTTAGCTTAAACACGTTTTATAAAATTATAGCTTAAAAAACCTTATACGCGTTTTTAAGGTTCACTGCTTTACAAAAACATCAATCAAAATGGCGGAAAAAACAAATTTTGGGTCCACCCTTTTAAAGTTCTAAAAATTAATTTATATATTTTTTAATTTTAGTTAAA